TATAATAAAGCTTTAATTATAAATATCTCAAAAACTATCGAGTAATTGCCCTTACAGTGGTACATTTTCTTGAACTGGATGACTATATCTATAAACCTGCAAAGTTTCAACTAAATCAATTACCCGAAGGACTTGTACTTTCCTTGTCAGTGCTCAAAGGGTTAACGGGCTCTGCAACAATGGCGGACCTTAATGGTAACAGCTCAAACAAACGTTTACAAATTTTTGTTTAGGACGTTCATTCTTATCTTAATTGCTAGATGAGAGTGTCATGAGTTTATCAATGTCCATAGTTATAATTAGCTATGTTTCTGAGTAATTATAATTGCTCGTCAAAATTTGAAAATAATCCAGCAGCTCTAGAGTCTACTCGCTATTCTATAATAGGAAATAATTAATACCTGAAAATTAGAAATAATTAACACGTGAAAAGAATAATTATCATTAAATTGTTTAAGGTTGTGGGGTGGAATAGCGTTTCATTTCAACTTATTTTCAACTTAAAAATTGGGTGGGAGTTTATTTTTAAACTGCTTTACGCTCAAATTTTCGCCTAATGCCGATCGACTGTTTCAGTTTATGCGAGTGACACGAAACTGTGTGCTTCGTTTCAGGAAAGTCTACGGAAAGTGTCTGCTTATGTAAATGTCACGTCGTTTCGAACGAAGTAGGTACAGTCATTGTTCGTTTCAAGTTTGTGCGTCTCGTCCAGCAACACATTCATATGACACTGTTACGTAATAACGGTGTGTGACGTAACGTCTATGGGATAGTAGTCAAACGCCGATTATCCAGATTTCAAATTTATCAGACTTTCGATTTTTCGCTCGTTAATTCCCCAAACATCTTATGTCTGTTGACAAATTATCTCGCGATGCCTGACAGTTTATGATAAATGAGAATCTTTTCGGAAGGGGGATATCTCCCAAGATAGGCTCTTTTGCCGATTATAGCATTTTTATAGTCTATCCCAGTGGTTCTCAGTCGTTATTACGATCAATGTTGTGATTTTAGGTATATAGGAAGCCTGATTATATTTTCAAAACTCGAATCACTTTCTAAATTTGGGTTCTTCATGTTACAGGAATTCAGAGACACTTTATATGATATAACATAACGCTCATCTATAATTCATATTTTTATACATCTCCGGTATTAATTTTTCTATATTTATAATTATAGAAATTTCATCCAATTTCATCTAATTTGAAATCAAATTGAAAAGTATTACCTTTTGTTCGACTAAAAATCAGGAAGAATGAATTGAACGAGATTGAAAACTCACTAGATGACTTGTAAGGTGACTAAAATTTATTAAGCATAACTAATCTCACCGACTTCTTAGATAACTAAAACCTGTTTAGATATGACATATTGTCCGTCAGATTTAGCATCGTCGATACTTTCACACAGTCAGAGCGACGTCTACATGGAATCTTTGGAGAAAATATTTTTATCCTCTTATGAGGTTAGAGATTCGTCGTAAAAGTCAGTTCGTGAGACATTTCATGCGATATCGCGACATTATGTCTCACAACAAACGGAATCTTGCCAGATATTTCGTCAACCGATAGGATTACAGGGGATTAAAGATCGATCACTCGAATATTTCTCCAGAAATCATCATCCTATATTACAGCGGACTATAAAATAATAATTTTCTACTAAAATATTTCACGAAATACTCTCGCTAATATTACAGCAAACTATAAAATAAAATTCACTACTCGAATATTTTATCCTAGAATTTTAGCACCATTTAGAACCTGAGAAATCTTTATTAAATCTTATTACAGTAGATTATAAAATAATTGATGTATCAAAGTTTGGGTCGCTATTTGTCAGCTGCTTAATTAATTAATTAAATTCTGTCGCGTTTAATTATTATTATTTATTATTTATTTAATTATTATTTTAGTAATAATTAATTTGTCTCAGCTCAAACGACCGATAATTAATCGGTGTACGTTATCATAGCTTAGGTTGTCTTCTAAAACGTTAGGATAATCGGCGTTCCAGTAGATCACAAACTCGCCTAGAATCGAGGATTTTTATCAGCACTCGAAATGCGTCCATGTGCTAACGGTGTCTAACACTAGAACTATCAAATTCCTTTTTTGAAAAGAAAACATGATTTCCTTTTTCTATCTTAGCATATCAGCTTATAAATATCGTCGAGCTTATAAAAATATAAGGGAAGCTTTAAATTCCTATTTCTTGGCAACCAAAAAATCTTCGTATGCAAAGAATTAATATCAATATTATTATATTTAGGTTCGCATCACAGATAGGTAGTTCTAGTGTTAATTATTGACCCAATGATGACCCCAATGATTTTTAACCAATGAAAATGCGTGAAACCTTCGAACAACTTACTCTACTCTATTTTTCCGAAATAAAAGTCTCTCTCGACGACGATACGATTCGTTGCATCGTTAAATCCTTGCCTTATGACGTTGACTCACGCTAAATTGCAAGATATTACGGACCAAACGCAAGCATCTCCTATATTATGATTTTAACTCTCGTTTTAATGTCACGTATAAATGGTTATTTATACTAGATTTATCTGCATGTAAAATGTAGCTAAATATACCGTAGATGGATAAAAATAAATAGGTAGACATAATCACTTTTGCTATTGTGATCATTTTCAGAATCGAGCAAAAGCTGCACCTTTTCGGTAATTGCTAATAGAGAATGTCTGAAACCAATAATTTTGATTGGTTTAGTAGTTTTAACGTTAAATTTAACACACTTGTGGTCACAAATTTATCATTCCTCTTATAGCGAAAGATTAGGTAAAACGAATTAATAAAATAACGTTCCCAGTCGATGCAAAAATGGAACATCTGAAACTGAATCATCTCCACTGTTTTGGTAACTTTTCTGTCGAACTTGACACATTTGTGGTCAGTAATTTTAATTTTAAGATTAACCCTTTGCACTCGAGAGGAGCCCTTCAGTTACCATTTGATAAAATTTCGAAGCTCGATATTCATTAATATGTCAAATTTCAGATAATATAACGGTGTACGAGGTATCGAAATCAAATAATTCTACGTGTTTATTACCATACGACTTCGTATTCACTGCACAGAAAAATATCGTCAGCTTTGTAACAGAAAATCTTTGAACTCCTATTCTTCTTTAGCCAAAAATCGTCAAGTGCAAAGGGTTAGATAAGGTAAATGTTAAAAATGACGCGAATTAGTGTCAATAACTATGAAAAAGATCAGAAGTGTCACGAATTCGCTGATTTTCAGTTACTGCAAATGTGTTCAGTCAAAAATCGTCGAGTGCAAAGGGTTAAATAAATTAAATGTTAAAAATGACGCGAATCAGTGTCAATAACTATGAAAAAGGAGTGTCACGAATTCACTGATTTCAATTACTGCAAATGTGTTAAGAAACAAGTTGTAAATCGGGTAAAGAGTATTATTGCAATGGTTTTTGTCCTGTTTCAACAATTGCGTTATTTAAGACAGGAATATCTAATTATAGTTGTAGAAACGATAAACGAACTCGTGAGTCAAGGGGTTAAATATGTCGGACCTCTAAGCGGTCATCGGACACGATCCTCGAGGCTATGTTAATCGCGTTAATTGCGGTCCAGACTTGCCTTAAATAGGAAACGATTATATGTGTAGTTAATATTACAAACCAATTCACCACCCACCGTAGACGCCCCTGACTTTTCTCTCTTCTATCAAGTCACTCCCCGTTACCCTATGATTATTCACGAATTTGTTATTTTATGTTCATGTATCTCCAGTGCTTCTTTTTAACGCAACATCGGTCTTTTAGTTGATGAGCATGTCGCTGTGAACATATATTTACGATGTACATACATACTTCGCTCGTATCTACCATCGTCGATTCATCACGTGCACCGTAGATCACGAATGCCTACCGACTTCGATCTCCATCAAAAATAACAAATTTTATCAAAAAAACTTGGAATCCAAAAATCAGAATTTTTCTCGGTTAAAAATTTTTGTTAAAGGATTAAAAAGAATTACGAATTTTCATCTTTCGAATCTGCAGCTTCCAATTTTATATTTGAATTCTTTAAATTTAGGTGTCGGAATATTCCAATTAAAAAATTAAAAAATTCAAAATTGGAAAAGTTCGATTTTCCAATAACCCTAGTTAAAAATTTTGTTTGCCGCGAGAATAGGAGCAAGCGGTGACAGTGGAAGCTAAATTAATCGTTTAAAATAGTAGAAAATTCCGAAATACAAAGATTCCGAGATGTTTCTTTCGATATTGGAGAAAAATGGAGTTTTCGAAGGGCACGTCGTCGGTAGGCATCCCGATGCCTGGCCTTAGGCATCGGCCGCAGAACGACCTTCATCCTTCACCGATCTCCGGCAAATCGCCTGGTGTCCCTCTCTTAGCTCTTTTTCCTTCGCTCGTTCCCTCTCGCTTCTTTCCTTTTCTCCTTTCCCTCGATTATTTCCAAGTCGTACGACGAGACCATCCGTCGCGTCTCTATCATTCATGTATTTCACAACGAAAGAGCCGTCCACCACCATTTCCTATCCACCCATCCCCTTTCCTCTCTCATCGCTGATCATTTCATTTTTCACGGCCGTTGCTTCACGACGCTTCGATTTGTTGTAGCCATTTTTTTCTTTTGAGTTGCTAGCCCCTATCCTGTTCCTACTTTCTGTTTCAGATTTCGTACGAACCGTCGTTGTACGGTACGAAAGGCACCGAGAGCGACGAGGATGTAGCCGTCTGGCGGCTGCCAGTTCACGAGAATCGAATCGAGAGGATGTACACGAACGAACAACGCACACGGAACGAGAAGTTGTTTGCACCTCGAGGCGAGTCAGTTCGTACAACGTTAGCGAAGAAAATCGGGACATCGAGACCAAGGATCACTGCCAGAGTAATGACGCTCAGTTAGAATCGCATAGTTCCGTCCCCGAGTTCCGTCCGTTGACGAAAAAGTGAGAGGAAATAGAAGAACGAAAGGAAAACGTAGAAACGAAAGAGAAACAAGGAGAAAAGGTGGGAGCAAAAAGAAATCGCGAATCGTCAGTTCGATCGAAATCCCTTTCTCCTGTACTCGAGATCAAAAAGACTGAATATCAAAGAGAGGCAAGATGTTGGGAGTGAGTCAACCGGGAAATCCACCCTCCAGCCTGCGACACTCGGCGAGCTTCTCTTGTTTGCAACGTGGTACAGCCAGCGAGGGACACAGGGCGAGGACCTCGACACTGTTGCAACAGCCCAGCCTGCAGCTGAGCAGCAGCCATCACCAATACTCATCCGGCCAGACGTCTCTGCTCCAACAGTCTACAGGCACCGTTCAGCACCGCATCGAGGCATTGGAGGCCGTGCAGGACAGCAACGACTACGGTTTCGTGAAGATTCGGCCACGTCTGCGTAGCACCAACGCTACCCTACACTACGAGGAAGAATTGGCGGCTCAGAAGAACGCGCTGTGGGATCGCGATGCGTCCGCGTTCAGCGATCGCGAATGCGACGGGAACTACAGAGACTGCTCGTTGAAGATCAAGGACCGCGAGCATTCGCCCAAAGGAGCCTCTTCGAAGAACCAGAATCCGCTCAGGGGAGCCCTGATACTCTTTACATCGACGTCGTCCTGGTGGAAAGCCAGGCAACGAGAGGATCAGCTGAACGGTTCGTCTACGGATCGCGCGTTGACCTCCACCACCGGCGCCGCGACCTCATCCGAGCGAAAGTGGTCGAGTACCTCGATGGCGTCGCCGTCGAATGAAAGAAAGTGGCCGTCGGTGACCTCGCCCACGAACGACCGGAAATGGTCGGTCGGCAATAACGCGCTGACGTCGCCTGGCAACGAGAGGAAGTGGACCAGATCGTCCGTCTCGTCCAACTCGACGGGACAGCAGGACAGGAAGTGGCGGTCTCTCGGAGCCCTGTTAAGGGCTCCCACTGGCACTGGTTCGCACGCCGTTCAGCACTCGCTGTCCCACAACATGAGCGTCTCCATGATCGAAGGCGAACACTTCCGGGAGGACCTGAGAGGCTCCAGTTGCAAGTCGACGCGTTACCAGCAACCCACGTCCTATTCTGCTCGCGTGTCACGCGTGAGTCGGGATATTTACAGAGAAAACGGAGAATTCGGTCAGGCTGGAAGATCGAAGGTCAGCCGTAGGTTGTATCAGGAGAACGCTGACTGCGCCGACAGAGACGTGGAGGAGAGACACGTGCAGACTAGACACCAGTTCGACGATGAGTGCAGGGGTCGGACAAATCGAGAGAGTATCTGCAAGGCGGAGCAGCAAAGCGTCGGGAACGACACTCGCACCACTGCCACCACGAGATCCAACCGGGCGCAGAGCTTTTATCTACTGGATGATTTTCTGCGGCCACAGCCGCAGCAGAACAAGTGCATGCTGAATGTCTACCTGTCACCGTCTCACTCCAAGTCGTCTGGCAACGGTAACGATCACTCCGCTGGAAGATCGGTGGACGTGAAGCAGGTCTCTCAGGCCAACGTAACCAACATCACGCCGCCTCGTCGCCATAACTCTAGCTCGGATAGCCTCGAGGTCGCGACTAGTCCGCTTCCGCCGCCAGTGCCGCCACCGCCACCTCAGGTCTCCGCCAGTCGCGACAGAGAAAGGGCCGAGAATTTCAAAGAGAAGGACGTGTGCCAGTGCAAAATGTGCTGGACCAATATGCAGCAGAGATCTTTCGTAGAAGAGGTAAGTCCTCCGGGAAGAGGAGCTTTAACCGCGTTTCGCCGGGATAACGCGCGCCATCTTCCTGTTTCTCTTCATCCGTTTCAGCATCTCGCTTTTCTCTTTATGGCTCGCGTGATGTTCTCGTCTTTCCTGTTATCGAACCCTTTTCATACTTGGGGTTCTTCTCGAGGAAATGGACACGAACGTTTATTCGTGCCTCGATAGAACCTGAAATAACGGTAATCTGCATACGCGCGTTTAGTGTGTGCGGATCTTCGTGAGCCAACGATCGGATGATTTTCGTGATAATTTTAAATCGGGAATTTAATCGGGAATATATCGGAAAATAAATTTAATGGATCGCGATGAAATGGGAATCGAGTATTACGAGTCATGAACTGGGTGTCTGTTGTAGGGGTTGTAGGGGTATACAATGGCTGCCAATTTCTGGCTATAGCGGAGCGTGTAACAGGTTTTTGGAGATCAAAGGTTGCTACGGACTGAGCCTTTCGTTGAAAGGATTCCATCGATCGATTTGATTAATACGTAATTCGAAGTGAAGTGGAATTATTCGTTGGCTGGAAAGTTTTGACAGGCACTGTACGTCTCGCGGATAGTCGAAGGAGGAGCTCGTATCGAAGATGCTCGTCGAATTCCACGAGAACCAAAATATTGAAACGCAACCGATAGTACGAGCCGACATACTTCCGCTATGAGGAAATTTCTCCGAGGAAATATTCTCAGTCAGCTTGGAATATGCAGTCGATAAATCAAGCGACGCGTGCTTTTGCTTTTCAATTTTCTGTCGGCCAACGAACCTGACTTTCGCATGTTTCGATCGTCGCGTTGCATTTACATAATTAATATCGCGGCTTATCGATCTCGTTGAAGCTTTCCAATTTTATCCGGTTGATTGTTGTAGATAACGATCGAAGAGATTGTTACAGCTAACTTAGAAAATACGTTAGAAATACGTAGAAATACTAAATTTTTAATAGTGAAATTTAAACTAAATTAAATTAAATTAAATAGTTAAATGCCTTAGATAGTTAATAATATTTTAATAAACATGAGATAGAATTTTCATAATTATTACCATTTATTTCGGTATTTATTTCTTTGATGTAGATCATAGATGAAATTTTGGTAGAATAGTTAGAACAATCTTACACTACTACTTCTAAAATTTTAGTCTCGAAATTAATAGTTAAATTAATAGCAATTACAATTAAATTAGAATTAAGATTTGACTACATAATCTTCTCATCTCTCAATAATTAAAAATATATTCTTTTCAATAGTTAAAGAATATTCTCACGAATGAAATACAAATGTATAGTAGTGCAGAAAATATTGGAATACCTGATAGCGCATAACAGCGTATATCCTATATTTATACCCGCAGTAGGCGCATCTAGGTATCGATCTAACCCAAGCTTTTCGACTTATAGCTAGAGAGCATGTATAAAAGCGGTGTATGAACTTAACAACCATCGGTTTCTCTTTTGGCGTCAGAAAACTGATATTGCACTATTCATCCTGACTTTTTCGAATTAATTATCGAACATCGTGCTTCGATTTATCATTCTTAGCATGCCAACGCAACGGTTCGGCTATTAGCAGTGCCGAGGAGAACTCTAAACAGCCATGATTTAACAACATGATGGAACATCGATGACGCGATATGACGTTGGGATCACTGGTTTTACGAGTTCACATGCTTCTCGGGTCGACTGATACTTTCGGTTCACTTATTAGACGAGATAAGGGACACGTGCTGTCTGCTGACAGGGTTGATTCACCGCTAATGTCTTCAAACTCGATTTAGAGCTAGCAAAAGGCTAGCGATCATACTGGTATCGTGAAGTCATTCGGGTGATACAGAAACTGTTGAATCTTCTCAGCGATCGCTATCAAAGATAAATAAAAATCAAAAGATTACTATTAGAAGTGTTGAAAAGATAAGTTTAGTTATATACAAAAATAAATCTAGGATATAAGGTGTGAAGTTTATAAGACCTAGATTCCGAGAATAAATGTTTATATAAACATTAGATAAGAATTGGAGGTAATAGAAAAAGAAATACATACAGTTTAGAACTTACTGAAAGTGTGAAGATATCGAATTTTTCTAAGATTATATTTAATATTGATGATTGGAGAAAATTGGCGAGATAAAAATTTCCTTTTCTTTTTTTGATACTTTCTATTGTGAAAGTTAGTTACGATGAAAGTGATAACACGGTTTTATATATTCTGTTATTGAAAATGGTTCGAAGTTTGAAGATGTGCTCGAGTTTTGGTAATGGACCTTTAGTAATTTCCCAAGTTTGGAAGTAATTCAGCGTAGACAGTGTTCCTTTGAAAGTATATTGTGTGAAAGTAGACTCCTTAAGTTTACGTATAAAGCATGGAGTCTTAACTACATAGTTGGCTATCTTTGATATCGAGCCTTTTAAGGTGATCCCCCGCGTTTAGGATACGCTTTCACAGTCACTCGAATAAAATTATCTTCGTGATTCAACGGATGAGTTTTCTGCAAAAGTGTGAGTAAATTTTTACTTGCTAATTATAATAAATTTACAAGTCACAGAAAATTATTTACTTACAAGTTACATTGGAAGCCCCGAGGAGCATAAAACATAATTGTAAATTCAACATTAAGTATCTCGAAGGGTCCAAATTTTTCAAGATTTCTAAAACAATAACAAAAATTCAAAATTTAATTATCTAGAGTTTCCAAAATATAAAATAACGATATGAGAATTACATTATATAACGAAATAGTCAAAATGAAATACCACGAACAAATTCAGAAAATATTTAACATCCAAGTGCAGAATATAATTACAGTCGTTCTTAAAATAAAAATTTATTTCGATATTTACCTCAAATATCCTCGACGAAAGACTCACGAGTACCATTTCGAGTACCTACACTTCAGCCATGAAATTTCCGCAACATCTTTAGCCGTTCCAATTTACCCTTTCATAGTATACATAAAATGATTCAGATTCCAAAAAGAGAAATTTCTGGTGAGTATCCATCATCGGGTCTAGCTGACTAACCCAGCACCCAGTCCCGAAATTTATACTCAGGCGACCGAAACGAGTCAGTAAAATAAACAGACTTTCCTGAGAAATTCATGTGACAGAAGAAGACAGATTGGCAGTTAGGTCGTGTCTTTCCCACGTGTCGATCACATGCATTTGTTTTTCTCTACATAACCTATATCGCGCGCGATCGCGTGGTTCCCTCTGCTTTGGTTATCTGTATCGAATGTTCGAATTAGGTTGCCGCCCCTGACCCCTTATTTCGCCGGTCGTATCGAACGAGAGTCCGTTATTCTTGGGACGCAGAAGGGTACAGTGTGGCGGAGGAAGTCGTATTTCTATCCTTCCAGTATCCTACTCTATTATTAGCAACCGCTGCAACGGCGGTGGACGCGACTCGACTGGATTTCCGTTCGATTTTAAAACACTGCCGCATCCTCGTGGCCGCAGGCTCCGCGTCTGTCTCTGTTTCTCTTCCACTTCGTTGCGCCCTCTACATCGCACGTACACTGCGCCCTCTAGGTCTTATAGTGGATTTCCATCACGTAGCAGCGGAGTAATTTTTGCACTCGGTGCATCGAGCACCCGCACGAATTTACTAGACAAACTTTACGACAACGTAAATTCGACGCCGGTATATGTATAAGTACGCGGGTTCGGTTCACCCGACGTCCATCGGGAGTTAGGCAGACAATGTTGGCAACGCCATTCAAAATGTCCCGCGCGATATTTTTATCGTCACCCGGTCGACGTTCTTAGCGTTCGAAGAATACGTCGTTTTATATGGAAAGATGTCCGTGGGATTCGCCTAACCCTTTGGTAAAGTGGTTTAACTGAAGGTCGGAATATTCTTCTGAGAGGTACTGGTAGTCTGAGGATATGGAATTTGAGGTAGTGGAGGTAAAGGGTGGATTTCAAGTATGTAAAATTATGCCTAGTGGCATAATTTATTCAATATTTTTATAAATAATTACAATAGTTTAAGTTGGGTTATTAAATCTAAGTACTTAATTACAGTTTGTATTCTGCGGTAAAAATAGTTCATTTTTATTGTACAAAACACGCGTGATAAAAAATATCATAAATACATTAAATTATAGAATAACAGTCTAACTTAAACTATTTTGTCTATGATCCAATAATGTCGGTAATTTACAATAATCTTAATCGCTTGGATCATATTTCTTATTTTTTTCTAATTTTATTATAATAAACCAATCATGCGTAATCGATTTATCAGAAAGTGAACTTGAGTAAAAATTTGATTCATAATGGGTTAAACTACAACCGTACCCAACCTGATTATTAGAGCTTACTTCGTATAAAATAGCTATAGACAATTATTAAAGTTTATTACGTATAAAAGAGGTAAAAATACGCTATTTTTTGTTTCGCATTGCAATTGGCAATAATTTAAAGGATAAACAAGCTATACCGGCTTGTTTGGTTATTATATTGGTATTCATCGCTATTTTATTGTACTGTAAAGAGATTGGTAATTTACTCTGAACGATGGTATAGTTTGTAGAACGATAAACAGTACTTTGCTTGCTATTAAATGAGCTCTTTTATGTGACATACATTTTCAAAGCATAATTAACATTTGAGAATAATACAAGACATTTCGTATAAATTCGTTGCCTATTTCAGTTTCTTTACATAAATTATAATCAACTTTTTCTTTCTTTCAACACATCGTTAATTATGTTTCAGAAAAAATTACTTCAAATTAGAATTTATTTTTATATCCAGAATTTATCTAGTTTCACTTTTTTCACGTATTTTCTAAAATTATCTCCATAAAATTCTACTATTAAAAACTAACATTTCATTCAAAAAACAATACTAATTCTTCCACGTCTGTCTAATCATAAAGAAACCATTAAAGTTATGGAGTTATTCTATACAGACTCAGAAGATATACTATGTTTATACATTTTTACGAATATTTCTTCTTTCTTGCTCATTTCCATAACATATCATTCGACCATTATCACTTATAGTGACTATTATTTCCCATTCTTCTCGTCCACGCAAAAAGCCATGATCAGTTTCGATCCTCTACTCGCAAGAACCAAGAAAAATCTAGCCACAAGTACTTGTGCATCAGAGTTAACAACACCGGAGAGTTCCCCGTCATGTTTATACGCGTATACAATTTCTCGCACATGTTCAGAATCTAAAAAAAGAAATCCAAATCAGCAAATTTAAGTTAAATTTCATTTCTTACAGACGCTTCTGTTTCCTTACTTTTGTTCGTGCTCCCTATTCGTGACGATTTCAGCGGCCATGCGTAACCACGGACCGTCCCCCTTCCACGCTCGTTTACCCCATTTGTTGCTTCTTTTTCTCTCAGTCTTATTTATTTCTTCCTTTTTTTTTCACCACTATATCAAGACAACCTAGGTCAGGGACGCGTAACCTACACATCCGGCTCTGCCAGCCACTTCCAGTAGTCGATGAAAGGCACGTAGACCAGTGTTACTAATCCAGCGTCCGCCACGTTGAATTACTAGCCTTATTTTTTCCCTTGCCAGCAATCGACGAGAATGTGGCGTTAAATTCGCGTTATTTCAGCTTTCGCGTGGAATGCGTCGCACGCTGTTTGGACTCGAGCTATGGACACCCGGGAGTCGTCGATCTTGTTGTGACCTTGATTCTCTTCTGATGTGGATTTTTCGGATTTTTATTGGGCTGAGAAAATTAAACGATGATCAAGTTCAGTGGAAGCGAATTAACTTTTGAAAAGGGAAAGATTATACGTGTAATCGCGGGGAATAAGTGTAATAATATGGAAACTCCGAGAGGGCGATACGAGTTGGTTGTATTCTCGTTTTGTCAAATTAGGTCGCAGCGAACTTGAATTTGATACGGGCTACGGAAATATGGAAGTAACTCGATCTACCGAATTACATCGAGCTCGGTTTTAGTAGGTCACTGGGATGCTCGTAACTTCTACGAAGGATACTTACTTTATGGATCTTCTGTTGTTCTTGAGGAATCATGCGACAGACACTTCTTGTTCTGAAAATTAATAAAATTGTTCGTTTATTTTATAGGTTATTAAGCGTGGTAACACTAAGTGACTTTATATAATTTTATATAAATAGAATAAAAAAAAAAATTCCAGAACTAGGTGCAGAGGTCTGTTGCTATTGAAACAAGTATAAAAATGATAAAATTTGTTCAAAATATTAGGTTTGTAAGGAATTGTGAGAAACATCAATTAATTTCATCAACCATCACTTACATAAAAAATCTTGTCATAGAAATTTCCATTCAGTGGACTATCAGGCTTTTCAATTTTGTCGTATTCTGCCAAATAATATTTTCCAGTTCAAAATAGATCAAATGTGAATCTTATTAATTCTTCTTTTTTTCATTGATGTGATTTTCATTTATCTTAAGCTAGAAATATATCTTCAAAATATCCAATGTTAAGTTAGACTAAATCATATTTTGTTTTCATATAATGTAATAATTCTTTTTACAAACCTGCCTAATTCTCACAAAGAAAAAGCTACTGTTTTATTCTCTCTCCATATAAAACATAAAAATCCTCTTCTTTATTTTCATGAAGAAAAAGCTCTCTTTTCCCATTAAAATCGTGCATATATTTCTCAAAGAACTTCTCTCATCCAGGGTACATTATCGTCAATTTCTCCTTTGCTAAGCAATCACCCTTCTCCTCTTGATGTATTTTTATGCACCGCCAATACTACGCGTTATTCCTGATCTCCGTGTGAACAACATCAACTAGCGTCAGAAGAAAAATAAAGAAAGAATGGTAAAAGAACGAAGCAAAAATCGACGAACTAAGAAGCAGAAACAGGAAAAAGAATGAGAAAGAATAAAGGAAAGAAAAAAAGAAACGAAATCCAGGCTTTCTCAGTCGATGCCCTCGCACGAACAACCGAAAAAGAATCTTTTATTCGGACGGGTCGACGATGCGTTTGACGATCCCGCATGGCTGACTCACGATGACGTGCAAAAGCCCGCGACAACCAAAGTCGAAGATATGCATGTGAGTACGAGAACGCGCCCAGGTATGCGGCAGTCGCGCGTTGAAAGCATTTACCAATTGGAAGTCGAACGAGTGGACAGAGGGCGTTATTTTAATCTGCTTAACCCTCTATAGCGCCATGTAACTTGTGGTTACGTGTTCGTGCGTGTGTAATTTTTAATTCCTATTCTTTCTTGTCAATATGATATTGTAGTTTCGTTTATACATATCTGTATATCGTTATAATGGAATTAGAGGATTATTTTGCAGCAATTATTAGTGTCAGAGTTCAGATAGAAGTAAGTGATGTTTTGTTGTCATAAATGAATAGAATTCTGGTTATAAAACATTAGGTAGATACTTTTGTTTTGAGAAAAATTTACAAAATATTAATAATGTAGGTATGTATAATACAATACAAAGTGTTTATAAAATATTTTGCAGAAAGTTTCGTTCGTAGAATAGAACAGAATATTTACATATTTATCATGTATGTTTTGTATGTGAATCAACATGTACCTGTACAATACAAATTCAATCGGTGTATCAATAGAACTGATATAAATGAAAATTCACGTAAGTTTGAAGAAACTTTTATAATAATTCACTGATTTAGAACATAGAAATAAATTTTATAGCAAAGGTATTCGTATTCAGTATAGGTTAATGAAAAACAGATCAATTGTTATTGTAGACAATTCCAATTCATCGATTAGACTGAATATTGTACATTTCCATTTGCAAAACAAACAAGATCTCATCGAGGGAATGCAAATGGTAAGCGTGGCATCAAAAATAAACGATCGTGAAAAATTGCAGTCCTACAAATATCAGCCCCTTTTTCCATTCTCGAACGTGTGTTTCATCTGTTGGCCGTTACGTTTGGTTTATATTTTCACGGCGGAATTATTGTTGATAGCTAACCGGGAATATAGATATGGAACGTTGTGCTGGGATTTCGATGAAAGTTTGCGAATTATGGGTTTAGTTGTAGAGATATGGTAGTGTGAGTAAAAGGTTCGTATAATACAGTATGTTTTTGGGTTGTAAATTTATCGTGACTCGTTTGTTTGTAAGTTAATTTGTTTTATTTGCATGACTTCGTGTTATGTTATATATCGATTTTGATAGAACTTGTTGGTTATATAATGGATAGAAAATGTTTGAGATTCGATTTCATGTTTGTGCAAACAGTTAATAGTTTACGAAATGAAGTTGAATAATAAAGATTGTGTTTCAAAAAGCGGTGTATCGACTGTCTATAATTTCATCTTCCATTTCAATAAACTTAAATAATATTAATAGCAATCGTTAAAGTTTCGTGATAATCGTTGCGCTTGAATTTCGAATACTTTAATGTATATCTGTTTTTTCGACTTCTCGTTATCTCGTTCATTTCCTATTTCTAAAAGATAGGTTAGGAATTCTATAACTCAATTTTTGAGCGTATTATACTGAGTTATTGAGTCCACTACATATTCCAGTATATTTAATTAAGATCATACTACATATGTTTTAAGTAAATTATTATAAAAACTATTTTTGGTCATTTTCAATAATTATTTATATTTTTTTTTTATGTTGCGCGTTTATCATATGTATGAAAGTGACGACTTGGATTCGATATATACGCACTGAACGTGTAAGGCGTGTGCAAACATGTTCCCATAAAAAGTCTGTGAATATCCACGGACAAACCACAGAGTTCTGTGAGATATGGACATAACATAGTATGCGAAACACGATATAACAATTCGAATAAATATCCACGAACAATATATGCAAACTGTGTACAGACAATATCTATCATCTGTACACGCCTTTCGACTTTAAGGTACCGTTTTAAAAAATTTAATACGTTTTATTATTCATTCAAGGCACCATATCAAAAGAATTAATCTCTTTTATTATTTATTTAAAATATTATATGTAAAAATTTTGTTCATATTTTTTACCCAAAGTATTATTTGAAAAAATTGTATTCATCTTGTTATTTTTACAGGGTACTTTAAATACAATATACATAAATAGATGGATAATAATTAAAGTAGTTAATGAAAATAAATAAGTATATATAATTTCTAGTTATAGTTTCAAACATATAATTCGTCACATCATTTACCTAAAGGATATCATTTCAAGGTACTATTTCTCCTTTTTTATCCTTACATAAATATTCCAACTAGTAATTCATATACCTTTACTTTACCACCAAGTATTATCGACTTCATCAACTTTCTTCACCACCGACCGACTCTGACTCCCACCTTCCCTCCATCTAGCGGTACAAATCATTCGTCAGAACTTCATTCTCATCGCAACCGCAATCACGCGCCATCGTCGCGTCGATATCGATTTAGAATCGACCGCGCACCGATCAGCGCCATCGAAATTCTATCAGTCATCCATCGTGTGGGTAATCGAACGTCGCCATGCGTATTACAGCAATAACGCACTCGAGGGGCAATAACGGACGTCCCGTTGTCTCTTGGAAAAAATCCCACGATACGAAAGTGAACATCGTCGCCAGTCACTCGAGGGATCGTTTTCGATCGACCCCATATCCGTGTTCCAAGCGTTCGCGACGTGCTCGCAAGCGACCCCCACTCGTTCACGAGTGTATATCAAAGTATAGTATCTTCGTGTAGGAGTTATCTCGCGGCGATTTCTTCTTCACGCGGCGGGAGCACGTAACGCGTTTGCTTGGAAATATGGATACTTTGATATGAAGTTGGTCGTTCCTGTAAAATTATTAGGGGCGATTTTTAGGCGGGGAGTGTGGAGTATAACAGGCTGGTGGAGAACGAATAAATGCGATCCCTCTATGAGTGTTCCTGACTGAGTCGAAGGACGGTGAATGGGCGAGACATTGATCCAACGTTGGGGTGGATATTTGTTTCGAGGTTTCATGAAGGTGATATATGTCTGCTTTTGTGTTTTGAACAGCGTATGATTTTTCTTTAATTTTTTGCAGGTGGTGGTATAGAAGGTATCTTCTGTTTCGTTCAGATGTTTCTGATTAGGCGCAAAGATGGCCGAATGGGAAACACTGATCTAATATTGGCTTGGATGTTTGTTTCGAGGTTTGATGTGAATGATATATGTTTCTTTTTGAGTTATGAATATCATATGATTTTTTTTTTATTTTTTTGCATATGATGGGTGTCTTCTGTTTGGTTGAAATGTTTCTAATTAGGTGTAAAAATGGTTGGATGGGAGACATTGATTTTGTGTTGGTGTGGATGTTTGTTTCGTGGTTTGATGTGGGTAATATATATCTCTTTGTGGATTATTGATATTCTTACGATTTGTTAAAATTCTGTCGCCAATGGAGGGTATTGTCTGTTAGACTGGACTATTTTTGATTGATATGCAGAATGGTTGAATGGATGAAGGATTGATCCTACGTTGGGGGTAGATATTTTTTTCGAACTTTTATGTGGATGATACATGTTTCTTGAATTATGGATATTGTATATTTTTTTAAATTCTGTACGTATGATGGATATCTTCTGTTTCATTAAGGTATTCCTAATTAAATTGAAATACAGCTGAATAGGCGAGATATTAATCTAACACTGCGGTGAATATTTGTTTTGAAGTTCGATGTGGGTAATACAAGTGTTATTAATATTTCTTTGTACATTATTGGTATCTTATGATTTGTTAAAATTTTGACGAAAATAATGGGTATTCTCTGTTTCATTGAACGGTTTCTGATTCAAATGTAGAATGGTTGAATGGACGAGACATTGATCCAACGTTGGGGTGAATATTTGTTTCGAGGTTTAATATACGGCGTAGATATATTATGTTTCTGTAGGTATTATGGACATGGTATGATATTTTTTACTTTTGTTCTCGCTGATGGATATCTAATGCTTCATTATGGTTTTTCTGATTAAGTCAAAAAATGATTGAATAGCGGAGACATTGATTTAATATTCAAATGGATATTTGTTTCTAGATTTTATGTAAATGATATAGACTTTCCTTGTCTATTAATTTCTTTGTGAATCATGGATATCTACTTAGGGATATCCTGTCGTTCGAGAGTATCTTACGGTATTATGAAATTTTGTTATGGATGATGGATGTCCTTTGTTTCATCGAGTTTTATTACAGACAATGTCTGTCCTCTTTCTGCGTTGATCTATCAGGTGCCCTGCTGTTAGTTGAAATTTTTCGTATATTAATCAAATTTTATTATATTAGTTACGATCATTAATTAATCATTTCAGTTAGTAAAACTGATTATTAAATCTTAATTATATATTTATCATCAGCTGTTATTTTAAATATTGTTTCATTTGAAATTTGTATTAAAAACTTTCCATTTTCATTTTAATACGTTTAGATAAGGAAAATATG